AATATCTTTAACAAAATTATGACCTGAAAAAATCAACTTTATACGCTATATTTTCCAAACATAACACAGACTTATTGTATGATTAAAATATTCCTAGACTGAATATACATATTATGCAAGACAATAATTTGATTTGTTAACCTGGTGTCTTAAGACCAGCTCCCAAAGGGCACTGTACTGAATATTCAGTACCATGTAGTAGAGGGAGTACAGGTTGGCCATCACTAATCCAGCATCATTCGGACATGTAGTGTGCTGGATCAGTGAGTTTGTCGGATTACAGAGTAGTTAGGTTAGAATACACTTAATTAACCTATCAATAGAGACACCTTGTACTACATCTTCCTCATTTTCATCCCTGCTTTCTCCTCCACTGGTGTTCTGCTATGGATTTACAACCATCTGCACAATATCTGAGTCAGTATAATGATGGAATTTGAGTAAGTATAATGATGAAATTTGAAATTATGCTAGCCAAAATTAGTGCCGGACCGATGGAACCAGATAACTGATTGCCGGATTACTGATGACCAACCTGTACCATTACTGCTATGACACATTTCACAAGAAGGGACTGGTGTACATACCATGAATTTGTTCCCCAAAAGGTAAGACAGTCAAGCTAGGTTTTCTAGAACTGCTATTCAGGTGTTGCAAAAAGAATTGTGTAGAAACCCTGTTTGAAAGTTATGAGATGAGTTTTGAGTCTTCACTATTGCTTCCAATATTGTTCATAAAAAAAATTCTGCCCAAAAAAGAAATTATATATAAAAAATGTGAAACCTCGTAAGTGGGGTGCTTATATTAGGGGGTAGACACATGGAGGCTCAGCATTTGTGCAAAAGAATGACAGTTGTTGTAATAAGTCAATTTCAGCTAAAAGTTCATAGTACATTTGCATTAAAGAGCAGACTGAGTGTGTCAAGAAGCTGAAGATTTCAAAAATGATGTCTGGCATACTCTCTGATATAAGTCAACTGTTTGACTGTCAGCAATACTTGACAGTCTTCATTAAAAAAAAAAAAAAAAGTACTAGGCGTGTCTACACGAGATGTTGTGTTAGTTTCACGGGTCTAATACGTAACTATAAGAGTACTGTTTTAAAAGAGGAAATAAGGAAAGCGGAAAGGTACAACAGTAACTAATGAAAAGTCTGTTCAAAAAGTACTGGATAATTACTATCATAAATCATTAACATTCATGGAAAAATAAGGACTATGTTTATAAATGACTTAAGAAATCCCAAAAAGGCTTAGAATTTGAAAATTATAAAGAGGTAGTTTATTCATGGAGTGGCAAGAACCATAGATTTTATATTATTATTATTTTTCTTATTATTATAATCAAGTTAAGCACTTAACTTAGAAGGGTCATATAGTGCTTTAGTAAAGGGATACGAAAAAGTAGGAATCTGTGAAGGACAGAGCGAGTGAGCGGTAGGGACGTGGAAGGAGAGGGATTAGTGGTGGTAGAGAAAAGTGCAAAAATAAAATTTAAATCAAAGTTGGTGCAGCAGGTTAGTTACTGTTAAAAAGACAGAAAGAGAGAGCATCAAAGGTGGGACTTTCAGTGAGGATGACAAGGTGAGTGAGTTTGGGAAGCAGAGACATCGAAAGTGAATCCTACAAACCCGCTGATAAACAAGACAATCTGTTAAGATATGGTGAACTGACTCATAGATTTCGTAATTTTCAAAGGGTAATTCAACGACTGGCTTTTTATAGAATAAGTTGGAACAAACACAAATTGACAACTCATTATTACCTAGCTTACAGGAAAAGAAAAACATCAGCTACAGTATTGTCAAAAATGTTATGCATTTTTATCAAAAGCAATTTATGAGGTAAGAGATTAAGTCTTCAGATGGACTTTTGAGAAAGCAACATTAGAAGTGGAATGAAAGGAAAACTGCCTAATGAGCTTTTAGACAATATTTCCGAATGTGATAACAATCACAACACAGCAAAAAAATTTTCAATGTGGGCACCTGTTGGTATATGTGTTGTACTCAACCTAAGTGTAGGAAGACATTATTAAAATCAGTGACTGGGCAAAAGGGAGGGAAGGGAAAGGAAGGGAGGACAATGACTCACCCACGTGTTAATAATTCGGGGAAGTAATGAATATGAAAATATAAGAAATGAGACATTGAAAGTTTACAGAAGACAATGAAAGATACTGACTAGATCATGAGCAGTGGGAGTGTTTTAAATGATGTAAGAGTGAATAAAAATACTGTATAGCATTAAAAAAGAAGAAAAGGAAACAAGAAATTTGCTTAGTGTGCATGTGTATTCCCTTTGATTCCCTGTACTTTGTGTAAATTGTGAATATACAGAGATAAGAAAGACTACTGAACTTGATTAACCCCATTTTTTTAGTGAAAACAAAATACCATCTATATTGTATCCACTATACTGTATATAATAGATAATTGAACTACAAATGGAAGGCCATGTTGATTTTGTGCTATGCATAAGCTGCATTATATTACATGCTGATACATTAGGAATTAGGTCCATCAGAAAATGTAAATAGTAAATGGATTGCCTTTTAATACATCTTCTGAATAGAGGCTTTAGGAACCCAAAACTTAACAAATCATACGGCTCTTGAATACCCTGACTTCTGATGTTTTGGTATAGTTAATTTGCTACAATTCTAGCACAATACATTAAATACGATTTGGTATGAATTCACTATACTTAACCAGGGAAGGTGGATGATCTGCATAAGCATACCTAAAATTCAACTACAACCTGCATATACAGCACTTTCTAATTTTAACCTTACACAAAATACAAAATTCAACTTAATTTCTACAAAAATAGCTGTCCAAGAGTAATACAAAATAAACTTACACACAAAAATCCTGAAAAAAAAAGCTTAAAATATTAAAGTTACAGTTCTCAGAGTCTATTTAAAGTTAGGAATGATGAGATTCAGCAGTGATAACTAAGAATCACCTTACATCATTCTACCTGAGCACAAATTAACCATGTCTGAAATCAGATGGAAAGTTTATTACACACCTGATAAGATTAAAATTTGCATAACCATTTACTGTTACCAATTCTTCTTATCCACTTCAATGTAGGACTGTGGACAGCTCAGATAAAATGCTATGTTTAGTTACTGTCAGATCACCGAGTATCTCGAGACAAATACTACATCGGTTTACTGTAATAAAAAACGATACCTAAATGAAAACTTTAGCTACCTTTGTGGTTTGGCTGAAAGAAAGCTTTGTATATGTCATTACCCAAATTTTTTTTATTAGTTCTATGCTAATAAAACCTTATGAGTGGGTAGGTTTGGTTATTATCAAGTTGCCACTATTTGTATGTGCTATTTTGCTTCATTAAAAAACATGGACAGTCTTTCTGGATTAATTTTGCAATAAACAGGCCATCTGATCAAGAATAGATTACACTCACTCTTGAGATATTAACTAAAAATAATCAAATAAAATTATGAATACAACCAAACCAAAAGAGTACAAAGTTTGTGATAATGACATATTCCATATACTGTACACAAAGAGACAAATGAAGGGTGCCTATTGTATGCCTCATTGTAATCCTCAAGCTTAGAGAGTCTGAATAAGATATAGTACAAAATCATGGCATTAGAGGGTAATCATATGACTAACTGCAATCTTCAGGGCTGCCATGTCATGGCTGAGGTAGAATAATGGCAAGCACTGTGGGAAAGAGAAATGGATCACTATTTTCACTGAAATTTTAAGTAATGATGTAAGATTTCTTTAACTATATAAACAGTTATGTAAAAAAAATATTACTATGTAAAACAGTTTCCTCTTATATTTATTTATTTTATAGTTTTAAGAGTAATACACTACAACAACATAATCCAGATTATGAAACAGTACATGCAAATAGTTGATAATCCACTTCAATTTCCCGACCCAGACAGGTACTGACAGTAGGACATAATTTCTATGTGAAGACCAAGTTGATTAATATACAGTTTATGCCCTGATATATAGTTGCATGTATGAAAGTGAAGGAGATGCAATCTTCACTTTTTTAAAAACTATGTGAAATGCATGACAATACCAAAAAATGCAATCATTAATTAGTAAATATTTTATGCCATGTCCATACAGAACATCAAAAGATTGTACACCCTAGGAGACCTGACTTCTGTAAGCTTGACAACAATACATAATTACCTTTTCCTTAAAAAAAAATCAAGTTCGGGTAGAGATTCATAAGGGCAATGTGCTAATGTCAAAAATGCATTTAATTTAGTTATAAATGGAGAACATTAACCATTAAAACTGTCATTCAGCAAAGTCATTATTTACTATACATTCCTTAGTTGTTGTTTAAAGCTTAAAGACTAGTAAGAGGTACTGTAAACCAATTTCACTGTACACTAACTCAGATATCTTTATTCCTGAATTAGGATTAAAATAAACATCTCATGGAATATACAGCGAAAGATCAACATCCCTGTGTGTGGTGTGTTTATACCCTGATATAAATTAGGATATATTTTTAATTTTAGTACTGTAATTATCCACTATCTGTTGTTGAATGTGGGCATGTTGGCCATCTCATAGCTCTTGGTTCCCCAAATTAACTTGCTGGTTAACATGAATAGCCTATCATGTTCAGCTTTTAAATTGCCTGTAAAGTCTGCTTCCATTTGCCAGGTCAGTGTATTTATTCCCACTTATGTTAAAAAAGTATTCGATATCCTGTGATATATATGTACTTTCACCAGGCTTACTATGCAATGCTTACTCTGATACTGTCAATCTTATGTCTACCATGTTGAGTGTGCTTAGAATAGCACGTAGTCACGAATGGCCTATTTTTCTTCGAATATCGAATTTATTTTTGACCTAATGTGCTCCACACGGTTTTTTTATATCTGTAATGCAAAATTCTACTGAATTCAACTTTTACTACTCTTAGCTATACCTCAAAATTTCTATCTACTACGTAAATTATGGGAAAAAAAAATACCAAGTATTCTTAAACTTTTATAACACAAATTTTTTTTGTGATTAAAGTTTTCATCATTTATGAACACCGCCTATAAAAAGGTCGAGATCCTGAAACATTGCTTGAGAACATACACATTTCTAAGGATAGTAAGGAAAGAGCAAGAAAATTATAAATCATAAAGTACTTGGAACAACAAAACCTGTCTACTAATTAGCGACTAGTTACAGAGTTTAATGCCGAGGACTCAAATATCATTCAAGTATTGCTTCATAATATCGACCAAAGAAAATAACCTATTAGAAGCAATGGGTATAATGTTATAAAAGAGTGTATTTTTTATATATATCTACAGGATGCTGCTGCTGTAGGAACAGAACCGGACACAATGTTTGCAGTTAACTGCTGTTTAGTTATCAGGATAAACTTATCCTATTTTGTCTTAGCCAGCTCATATTTTGATTTTCTCAAATGCACCAAATTGAAAATTTCCAGTACAGGAACACTGTTTTTTACCTGTGGTTATTACAGTATTTACCTAAATACAGTATCTACTAATAAATGACAATGAAGAACTATCATTAACTTAATAGTGGGGAAATACAGCATAGTGCTCGGTAATGCATAGTACTAGGTACATACGTAGTTGTGTACGCATTTATGTCATGTTTATATAAAAGTTAGTAATGTACCTGGGTAACATCTGCAGCTTCGCAGACAAACTAGCACTAGTTTACCTAGAGAACTGATATCCTCTTATCTTGTTTGGCATTCATTTTAAATGAGATGATGATGATGAGCATCTGTTTACCTGTACTTAGGATAAATCTGTGGATGAATTTTTAAGGCATGACAGAGGATTACATATATCCTGAATATGACATTCATAACATATATATACCTGTATGTATGTATGCATGTATGTATGTATGTGTGCATGTATTTTTTTTTTTTAACACACCGGTCATCTCCCACTGAGGTAGTGTGACCTATAACAGTAGAAACACTTTCATCACTCATTCCACTTTTTTTTTTGTGTCAGAGACACACTGATACTACAGTTCAATACTACATATATTCCCACCCCCTCCTTCAGAGTGCAGGCACTGTACTTCCCACCTTCAGGACTTCAGTCCAGCTAAATGATTTCCCTGAATCTCTTCATAAATGTTACCTTGCTCATACTCCAACAACTCGTCAAGTCCCAAAGACCATTTGCCTCTCCTCTCTCCTAGCATGTGTGCGTGAGAATGTTAGACAGGAGTGAGCAGAGGCAAATGACTTTTGGGACTTGAAGAGCTGTTGGAGTGTGAGCAAGGTAACACTTGTGAAGGAATTCAGGGAAACCAGCTAGCCAGACTGGAGTCCTGGAGGTGGGAAGTACAGTGCCTGCACTCTGAAGGACGGGTGGGGACATTTGAAGTTTTGGGGGGCACCTGAACTATGGTATCGGTACACCTCTGACAATGAGGTGTGAATGAGGAGTGAATGATAATGAAAGTGTTTCTTTTTTGGGTCACTCTGCCATGGTGGGATACAGCTGGTTTGTTGAAAAAGAGGGTATTAATGTGTATGTATGACTGTATGTATGAATGTATATAAGTATATGTATGTATATATGTATATATATATAATGTATTCTTCAGTCAAATCTTGATTAAATGTAGTTTTTGTGGTTGGCACATCAGTGACTCTGCATGGTAAAAAAATATGTCCTGTTAAAGAAATATCTGTTATTAATACAAACAAGCAATGCATATATGTAATGAAATTCTGGAAGAGCCATTGCTGTTGGTACGGTATACAAATATTTTTACATGTGGCCTGAAGCCAATAGTGGCAGAGGATGAAGGTGATTGCTGAAAGATACACAGACAATCTTTGCAGGTCTTAGTAGTAAAGGGCACCAAGACTTTTATAATCAAGAACAGCTAATGGGACACTGCATTACCCATGATGCCTTGATAATGTTCTTATGGAATAGCTCCAAATTAACGTAAAATGTGGTATGAGCATAAGCCTCAATATCTGATACCATGGACACTACTTTTGACTAACTGGATCAAGAAAATTAGAGGCATTGACAAAGCCACAATTCCAAAGAAATTCTTAATAGCAACAAATACATCAGTAACACAAGTTCTCCAATATAGCTTAAAATATTGTATTTGTGCCTTAAGTATCACACTAAATATTTTGTTTCCTATTTACTAAAGATCTGTCAAACAATGGTCCTTTATATAGATATACATATACTGTAGAATCTAATAACAGCATATGAGCTAAAACCGAAGTCTGAGTTTCAATTGTAACTTTATATTTCACAAAAGGTAAAAAATACTTATGGAATATGATTATGTATTCAAGCATTCCCAATGAAAGTAATGGATGAATATTTTCAATTCAAGCTTTTTTTTTTTTTTGGCTACAGGTGATAATCTATACTTCATGTTGTCAACTTTAAGATCACATTAAGAAACTTTAGGAACACTTTAACCCTGGAAAACCTTCAAATGGGACAAGGTTGAAGGATGATAACACCCTGCTTATCCTGTATTGGTCACTAAATCTGAAGGCAAGAGTCTTCATGTACATTTCATCAAAACATGCAATAAAAAACTAATTCTAATTACAGTATTAAAGATGACATACTATCCAAACTAATCAGTCAATGTCCAGAAGAGGGATTTTCAGTGCATATAACTGGTTGACTGTATGTTTGTTAGTAATACTTGGTGGGTTCTGAAGTTACCACATTTATTAGTAAACTCAACTGTAACTACTTCTACCAGTTACTTACTATAGCTGCCAGTCTTGATAACATGAACCAATTACTAAGTTAATATCGCTGTAGATCTTGATAAAATAAACCAATTGAAGCAAACAATGACAAAATTTTTTGCACAAAATGTAGATGAAGCTGTTCATTGTTAACCTAGAATTTGGAAAGGAACCTTCAGATGCTATCTCAGTCTGCACTGTACCACTGTCAAGCCATGACTTGACAATGGTCCATGATGGATCAAAAGATCGCATAAAGTTTCCATTCCAAACTGAGGTGGAACGAATTGTTTTGCCTATCGTTTTGTTACTTTTATTCTTCAGCTGAACACAAATAGTGACCATCATAATGTGCGTAAATAAACGCTGTCAGTACTTTACTCATTGAATGACCTTGAGATTGTGTAGTAATTTTATTACTATGGCTGATTTTTTCAAATCTGGATGGACTTATTTAGCATATTTATTTCTTAAAATGTATCAGAAAGGAATAATACTGAATATACTTTACACAAATGAGCTGTAATTCTAGTAACTAGAGAATATACATGTAAAAAGTAACTGCTTTGGTGTTTGTTAATTATACTAACACACAGAGAGCTCTAGCATATATCTGGGGTACTGCAGTCGTTTCTTCAAAACACAAATGGCTAGAGTTGTAGTGATGCCACAAAAGTTCTCTTCAGGCAATATTTAAAAGAGCAAATAGTTTATCAAGATACATATAAGAATTTTTATGTACATTAACCTGCAAACTCTTTAATGGACCAACAATTAACATGTAATTGAAAAATAATTCAAAATAAAAATAATGGTACACGAACAGATCTGTGTTACATCAAATACCTGTCCGTACCTGCAAGTTATATGCTTTATTACAAAATGACTTCTAGTTTAAATAGTAGGCACAGTTTAAAGTTGCCTCCTGAACCTATTACTTTCTTATGTAATTTGTGCAACAATGCATTTGTGAAAAAACATGTTGAACAATGCATTAAGATGCCATTTTCATTTATATTCTACTGGCACAATGATTCTTTTGTTGCTTACATATGATCTTAATTCTAAATTACCATCTAAACCAGTGATCAGTTTGGATACAATAAACCATTCTATTTATATGCTAAACAGATCATAAAGTTATTATCTGTTAAATAAACCCCAAGTAAAAAAATTACAACTAAGGTATTTACAATCTTATGGGATAAGATAATTGTATTAAATATTGTTACCAATATTCCCACACTCCCTGAGGAAATGACAACTAAGCATGACCCACAACCATTCTTTGTTTGTTACGCAAGTACCTACTGTATATGCATCATAAATTGCTATAAATTGTATCATTTCCCTGGGATATAAATATGATGCAAACTTTTTCTTATTTCAACTCCATATAAATATTTTGCAGAATGAAAACAAAAATAAATAATATTGAGAAATTTAAATTTTACTGTAGTGCTTTATACTTGGTTTCTTCTGAAAGAAAACATCCTAAGTCTTATATACACTACTGAGAGCTTACCCATTGTACAGGAAAAATGCAATCTACTGCTGCATTTAATTTTCACATAATCACATGATTCTGTGATTTGTATTTTAAGTTAAACATTCTGTTGCTGTGATGACAGAATTCTCCCCAATTTTATTTAGCATGGAACTCTTGCAAGCACAAGCAACATGACCATTCCCCTTCAGGTGGCTCTGACAGAGGTGGCTCAAGGCAGTATAAGTGGTATCCCCGGTCGCAGTCATCACAAAACAGCAGCTGATCCTGTGGGAAGGTGATATTTTCAGTTATACTACTGAATAACATACAAACTGAAAAAAATGACAAATAGGTAAAGTAAAAATACATAGCAAAGCTATGTGCGGATTTCATAAAACTCACACTCGTGCAAAATGAAAAAAACAAGGTTGACTTCGTATCCAGAGCTTAATGACGTAGCTTAGCTTCATCCCAATGCTAATCATTGATAATGGAGTTTTCCATGCTGTGTTTGATCACTGGCATGTTATAAGCCATTATGGCACTTTAATACAAAAAGTATAAACACAGTAGCAATAGGATGTTCCTACTATGGCAATTAGATTTCTATAGACTGGGCTGATTTTGCAACTGTGAAAAAAGGTTGCATTTTTCTTGAAACTAAAAGTTATTGGAACCTATGACATCGTCAAGGACTGATGTATATCATTTATTCCTATCATGTACAAAGGTCACAATTATCATATTGACATTTTTTATGAACTCCAGATACACAAAATGAATAACAGTGTGAACATAACACAACCTTGATATACTACATATACAGACATTGCATGACACTGACATTGACACAACGTTTACTTTGCAGAAGCTCTTTACAGCGTAACAAAATTCCTTCCACTATTTACATGTTTAATATAATCCAGTCTCTCCCAGTTTACCATATGTCATCTTAGTAGGATGACAGAATGCAGCGGTACCAGTTTTCTCTAATGCTATTGTGGAAACTAGCAATTACCTATCTTTTCACACAATCTTTGCCATCATTCCAGTACATGTATTCTAGAAAGTTTTATAAAAAATTTCCAATTTATTTTCAAGTTTATAATAGTTTCATGAATATAGAAAAGATGAAAAAACATCAGCCCTCCTCCAACCATGTACAGTAGACGGCACAATAAGTGTAACAGCGTATTGTAAAGTATATTAACACTTACGTCATTCTCTGATGTACCACAAAGAGTGCAGGTCTTACACTCTATACACTGCCAACGATATTTCACAACACTTTTCATCATATTAGATGTAAATTGTAGACATGTTGGATGACCTGTGAAGAAAATATCAATCATTGTAGGTTACAGTACAACTCTTCGGGCAATAAATTTTAAAGTACTTTTCTATTTGCATTTCATAAAAGTGAGTCCTTTTGAAACTTTTGGTTCTGAAAGAGTAATGCATTCATAAGTAATCCAGAGTCAACAGATTAATAATATTACTTATCAGTATTAGGGAAGACTTAAAATGGCAGTAATAATATATTAACTTTTTCCGGGAAAGGAAAAGCAATTAAAAAAAGTTTTTCACTATCACTAGTTTTTGTGTTTTTTTCAGAGATGCCTAGACATCACAAACCCAAAGAGTCCAAACCAACATACCAGTCCATCTTCCGAGTGCAGTACTGTTTTTCCCACTCTATTTTTCAATTCAGTAAACGGGTTTCCTTGGCCCTTTAAAAGAGAAATTTTTGCCCCCCTCCCAACACTTAAAGCCAAAAAATTGTGATTACACTTTTTTTTTAACATCGTGTTTCCCCCCGAGGCAGGGTGCCCCAAAAAAAAGAAACATTTTCACCTCATTCAAATAATCATATCTTTGCAGGGCCCCAAACAACATTTAGATGTAATTAGACTTTTGTTACACCCTCCTCCAACCATTTTGGGGGGATTCCCCAAAATGTTTTTTTCGTCAGCCCGTCTGTTCAATCATTTTGAAGATAAAGCAATATTAACACTTCTTTCCCCCTCTCCACTCTCTCAATTATACCTTTCATACCCAAAATGCATCTTATTTCTTCACTCTTCCTGCTAATTTTTTTCAAACCTTTTTTACTTAACCCCTTTTGGGTTTTTTTTCCCACGTACTTACGGCTTACGCACAAAGGGTATTGACGTACTAGAACCCTAAATTTATGGCCCTTCAAACTAGCAAGAGAAAGCTGGTAGGCCTACATATGAAAGAATGGTCCCCCGGGTCAGGTGCGCAGTATAAAAAAAAAACCTGCAGAACCAGTAGTAATGGGAAAAAAAAACTTTAGTTTTTTTTGGGTTAAAACAGCGACTTGCACTGTTTTTTTTTGGTATTATTGTTGTTTCTATTTCCTGGGCTCATTTTATGAATGGAAGACATATTACAAAATTGAATGATTTTGATTGGTTTCCAATGAAAAGTACCTTGAAATTGGCCAAAGTAGCAGAAATGTTCAATTTTTACCAAAGTTTTAAAAGTAAACAAATCATGCCCCCCCCAAAGGGCCAAAAACCGTCATGGCGATCAATATTCTTTCACAAGTGCGTGATATTTTTTAACCATTTTACACTGTGCGTAGTCGCATAGCAGAAACTTCTATTTTTTTTTGAGAATAAAAAATTTAAAGTGGAAAGCAAAAAAAAATGTAAGAGGGCCTGGGGGCCTGACTAACGAAAAGAGAATTGTTATTTTAGGCCCGGAATGTCGTCTTTTTTATTCTGAACCCTAATTTTGGAAAAATTTGGGATCTTTTGAAATTTTTTGTAAAATTTTGGGAAAAAATTGCCAATTTCTAACCACTTTATTGGATAGTTGAAATTGGTAAATGGGTGGTTTCTTGTACTCATTCGATAGAAAAAATGGAGTTCTAGCGAAATAAATATGATTTTTGTCGACTAGTACACAGGATTTTTTTTTTATTTATTATCACACCGGCCGATTCCCACCAAGGCAGGGTGGCCCGAAAAAGAAAAACTTTCACCATCATTCACTCCATCACTGTCTTGCCAGAAGGGTGCTTTACACTACAGTTTTTAAACTGCAACATTAACACCCCTCCTTCAGAGTGCAGGCACTGTACTTCCCATCTCCAGGACTCAAGTCCGGCCTGCCGGTTTCCCTGAATCCCTTCATAAATGTTACTTTGCTCACACTCCAACAGCACGTCAAGTATTAAAAACCATTTGTCTCCATTCACTCCTATCAAACACGCTCACGCATGCCTGCTGGAAGTCCAAGCCCCTCGCACACAAAACCTCCTTTACCCCCTCCCTCCAACCCTTCCTAGGCCGACCCCTACCCCGCCTTCCTTCCACTACAGACTGATACACTCTTGAAGTCATTCTGTTTCGCTCCATTCTCTCTACATGTCCGAACCACCTCAACAACCCTTCCTCAGCCCTCTGGACAACAGTTTTGGTAATCCCGCACCTCCTCCTAACTTCCAAACTACGAATTCTCTGCATTATATTCACACCACACATTGCCCTCAGACATGACATCTCCACTGCCTCCAGCCTTCTCCTCGCTGCAACATTCATCACCCACGCTTCACACCCATACAAGAGCGTTGGTAAAACTATACTCTCATACATTCCCCTCTTTGCCTCCAAGGACAAAGTTCCTTTGTCTCCACAGACTCCTAAGTGCACCACTCACTCTTTTTCCCTCATCAATTCTATGATTCACCTCATCTTTCATAGACCCATCCGCTGACACGTCCACTCCCAAATATCTGAATACGTTCACCTCCTCCATACTCTCTCCCTCCAATCTGATATTCAATCTTTCATCACCTAATCTTTTTGTTATCCTCATAACCTTACTCTTTCCTGTATTCACCTTTAATTTTCTTCTTTTGCACACCCTACCAAATTCATCCACCAATCTCTGCAACTTCTCTTCAGAATCTCCCAAGAGCACAGTGTCATCACCAAAGAGCAGCTGTGACAACTCCCACTTTGTGTGTGATTCTTTATCTTTTAACTCCACGCCTCTTGCCAAGACCCTCGCATTTACTTCTCTTACAACCCCATCTATAAATATATTAAACAACCACGGTGACATCACACATCCCTGTCTAAGGCCTACTTTTACTGGGAAAAAATTTCCCTCTTTCCTACATACTCTAACTTGAGCCTCACTATCCTTGTAAAAACTCTTCACTGCTTTCAGTAACCTACCTCCTACACCATACACTTGTAACATCTGCCACATTGCCCCCCTATCCACCCTGTCATACGCCTTTTCCAAATCCATAAATGCCACAAAGACCTCTTTAGCCTTATCTAAATACTGTTCACTTATATGTTTCAACTGTAAACACCTGGTCCACACACCCCCTACCTTTCCTAAAGCCTCCTTGTTCATCTGCTATCCTATTCTCCGTCTTACTCTTAATTCTTTCAATTATAACTCTACCATACACTTTACCAGGTACACTCAACAGACTTATCCCCCTATAATTTTTGCACTCTCTTTTATCCCCTTTGCCTTTATACAAAGGAACTATGCATGCTCTCTGCCAATCCCTAGGTACCTTACCCTCTTCCATACATTTATTAAATAATTGCACCAACCACTCCAAAATTATATCCCCACCTGCTTTTAACATTTCTATCTTTATCCCATCAATCCCGGCTGCCTTACCCCCTTTCATTTTACCTACTGCCTCACGAACTTCCCCCACACTCACAACTGGCTCTTCCTCACTCCTACAAGATGTTATTCCTCCTTGCCCTATACACGAAATCACAGCTTCCCTTTCTTCATCAACATTTAACAATTCCTCAAAATATTCCCTCCATCTTCCCAATACCTCTAACTCTCCATTTAATAACTCTCCTCTCCTATTTTTAACTGACAAATCCATTTGTTTCCTAGGCTTTCTTAACTTGTTAATCTCACTCCAAAACTTTTTCTTATTTTCAACAAAATTTGTTGATAACATCTCACCCACTCTCTCATTTGCTCTCTTTTTACATTGCTTCACCACTCTCTTAACTTCTCTCTTTTTCTCCATATACTCTTCCCTCCTTGCATCACTTCTACTTTGTAAAAACTTCTCATATGCTAACTTTTTCTCCCTTACTACTCTCTTTACATCATCATTCCACCAATCGCTCCTCTTCCCTCCTGCACCCACTTTCCTGTAACCACAAACTTCTGCTGAACACTCTAACACTACATTTTTAAACCTACCCCATACCTCTTCGACCCCATTGCCTATGCTCTCATTAGCCCATCTATCCTCCAATTGCTGTTTATATCTTACCCTAACTGCCTCCTCTTTTAGTTTATAAACCTTCACCTCTCTCTTCCCTGATGCTTCTATTCTCCTTGTATCCCATCTACCTTTTACTCTCAGTGTAGCTACAACTAGAAAGTGATCTGATATATCTGTGGCCCCTCTATAAACATGTACATCCTGAAGTCTACTCAACAGTCTTTTATCTACCAATACATAATCCAACAAACTACTGTCATTTCGCCCTACATCATTGGTTGAAAATAGCGCTCAAAGTGGGCAAAATTGCCGATGCGTAAACATCGTAGAGACTGCTAACTTTGCGAGAGCATAATTCCATAACTTTTCCATCAAATTTCATACTTTTGGTGTCATTATGATCGGAAAATGATTCTCTATCATTTCATAAGAAAAAATAATTTTTTTTTCCGAAAAATTTTTGACCCTGAGAACAAGTTTAGGAAAGGGTCTCTCGACCCTGAAAGGGTTAATATGACATCTCAGCTGTTTACAACTTCACTATACTCTGGTACATTCACCTATTTTTGCATCCACTGAAACATCTTTTTTTCCATAGATGCCTTAACCCTTCATCTATTGTTTCCTCATGTATTGTACAATTCACATCTTTCATATACTCATCTGCCATGACATCCACTCCCAAATACCATACCTAAATATATTCACTTCCATACTTCTTCCCTCCAATTTGACATCCAATTTTTCATGCCTAGACTTTCTTGCTCTTTTCTGAGTTTATTTCTCACTTCCTTCTTACACATACTCTCAAAAATACTCACACCAACCTTTGCAACTAATTTATAATCAAGAATTACAATTTAAAAAAATTACAGCCTATGTGTTTAAAAAAAAAAATCCCCTGGTCATCACTTATTCAACATCTGGCAGTCTTCTTTTGTACAGAAACACCTAAACAAATAATGCAGATACAGAACATGCAAACAAAAGAGACCATAAAACATGCCGTTATTCAATGTTTTTAAAAATTCAGTACAACCTCCCTCTGACTGCTTGATAATTGGTAATATTTTGTGCTACCTCTGATTAAAGAAATCACTTAGCTGTTCTTTTTGTTATTTTAGAATTAAAACTTTTAAAACACTAAAACCTATATAACAACAAAATCAAGAGGTTTCCACTATTTCGTACCTGATCGCCCACAATCAGCGCACGACACGAGGTTCTCCGGTGTGCCAGTTTTCTTGTTCTCGGAAGAATCTCCTAAGCAGAAGTCACAGTAAGGAGAGGCAGATACTTTCTTCTTTCCTAGGTTTTTATCAGATGGAGTGTCAGTAGGGGAGGCAATAGCTTGGGGCATCGTAGGGACTGCATTGGATTGGCCTGTAGAGCCAGAACGGCGTCCTGAGAGACAACTTACAACGATTAGTTTGAATGTATTCAGAGAATAATGCAATATTAACACTGTGAGACTGAGTGAACAAAAGTGAATAAATGAATCAGTATGTGATTTATTAAATGTGCTGAGTGCCTGTAGATGTATACAAGTGAATATATATGAACAATTATATATATTACATATGAATGGAAAGTGTTTACACTGAAGCATATATGTGAACAGAATTTAGATAAAGGTAGGGAAGTTTTTATTGCATTTATGGATTTAGAAAAGGCATATGATAGAGTGGATAGGGGAGCAATGTGGCAGATGTTGCAAGTATATGGAATAGGTGGTAAGTTACTAAATGCTGTAAAGAGTTTTTATGAGGATAGTGAGGCTCAGGTTAGGGTGTGTAGAAGAGAGGGAGACTACTTCCCGGTAAAAGTAGGTCTTAGACAGGGATGTGTAATGTCACCATGGTTGTTTAATATATTTATAGATGGGGTTGTAAAAGAAGTAAATGCTAGGGTGTTCGGGAGAGGGGTGGGATTAAATTGTGGGGAATCAAATACAAAATGGGAATTGACACAGTTGCTTTTTGCTGATGATACTGTGCTTATGGGAAATTCTAAAGAAAAATTGCAAAGGTTAGTAGAAGAGTCTGGGAGTGTATGTAAAAGTTGAAAGTGAACATAGAAAAGAGTAAGGTGATGAGGGTATCAAATGATTTAGATAAAGAAAAAATGGATATCAAATTGGGGAGGAGGAGTATGGAAGAAGTGAATGTTTTCAGATACTTGGGAGTTGACGTGTTAGTGGATCTATTTATGAAGGATGAGGTTAATCATAGAATTGATTAGGGAAAAAAGGTGAGAGGTGCATTGAGGTATATGTGGAGACAAAAAACGTTATCTATGGAGGCAAAGAAGGGAATGTATGAAAGTATAGTAGTACCAGCACTCTTATATGGGTGTGAAGCTTGGGTTGTGAATGCAGCAGCGAGGAGGCAGTTGAAGGCAGTGGAGATGTCCTGTCTAAGGGCAATGTGTCATGTAAATATTATGCAGAAAATTTGGAGTGTGGAAATTAGGAGATGTGGAGTTAATAAAAGTATTAGTCACAGGGCTGAAGAGGGGTTGTTGAGGTGGTTTGGTCATTTAGAGAGAATGGATCAAAGTAGAATGACATGAAGAGCATTTAAATCTGTAGGGGAGGGGAAGGAAGGCGGGGTAGGGGTCGTCCTCGAAAAGGTTGGAAGGAAGGGGTAAGGGAGGTTTTGTGGGCGAGGGGCTTGGACTTCCAGCAGGCGTGCGTGAGCGTGTTCGATAGGAGTGAATGGAGACGAATGGTATTTGGGACCTGACGATCTGTTGGAGTGTGAGCAGGGTAATATTTAGTGAAGGGATTCAGGGAAACCGGTTATTTTTATATAGCCGGACTTGAGTCCTGGAAATGGTAAGTATAATGCCTGCACTCTAAAGGAGGGGTTTCCAGATATTAGCAGTTTGGAGGGATATGTTGTGTATCTTTATACGTATATGCTTTTAAACTGTTGTGTTCTGAGCACCTCTGCAAAAACAGTGATTATGTGTGAGGGAGGTGAAAGTGTTGAATGATGAAAGTATTTTTTGGGGGGATTTTCTTTCTTTTTGGGTCACCCTGCCTTGGTGGGAGACGACCACTTGTTAAAAAAAAAAATGAATGGAAACATGTGTTTGTGTGTGTGTGGGTAAACACTAATGTAAACTGCACCAAATTATATAAGTATACAAAATTTATGATACAAATTTATTAAGAATGTTTTACATAATACTATATAAAATATTTACTTTTAATATTTACTGTATCTAACTTTAAATCAAGCAGAATGTGAACATAAAACCTTGAGATGTCATATAATCAATTGTATTAATAAATATTCAATATTTCTTAAACAAAGTTGCTCAAATATAAATACTGTTGTTTTGAATAATACACTGGTTTAAAAATTTTAATGTATTTATAAAATTGTACATACTGTATACACAAAGTAGACATAATAAAGTGATGAACAGCAAGGCAAAAGAAGAAAAACTGCAAAATAAATCAGAACACAGACTACTTAAGAAAGGAAAATTTGATGTTAGAATAAACAAAATACAGTACAGTAAGACCCACTACTTGCTGAAGCCCTCATCATGGGCTGTCTTTTTCGCCATAAAGGAAATCTGTGAGGACCCTACATTCTTGAGTAAGCTGAAGCCAGGGCCAACAGCCCAAAATGCTCACATACACAGGTACACACACATGAGCATAGCTCTGCTCTTGTAGCTACAAGTAATTGCATACAGGAGATCCCCAAATTATGTTACAATTAGAAACTATCTGGGAAAAAAATATTCCTTAATGATTTCACATACCGTGATAATATTAAAAACAATGTATTTGCCTGAAATGGGTACCTCTTTCTTCCTTTCCTTTGCTCTATCACAATGTATCTGATACAATGCACTTTACAAATGCTCTCCACCCACTCCCCTTACCACTGTAGTAAGGGTGAAGAGTGCCTGAGCATGTGGTATGGACGGAAGTGTTGGAGTGAGGGGTGACAGGTGTTCAGGCATGTGGGACAGGGTTGTAGTGAGAGTAAGCTCCTGCTTAAACTGCAGCAATGTCAACTTTAAGCATCTACAGGCCATGAATGCTACTACTCACCCTCACTGCTCGGTATAATTTTTAATTCTAGCTTTGACTAATTTCTATCAAATAAATCAGAGGCACCTATATGTTAAAACACAAAATATCAATGCATTGAGGCAAAATAGAAAGACAAAAATAATATCTAGAACTCCCCTTAAAAACTGTAATTACAGCACTAACCTACAGTTCTTGGCAAACATCTACCAAAAATTATGAGTCCACCATACATGAAAAAATTACAAAAACAAAATTTTTGCTTGTTAGAATGTTTGCAGTTACCTATCTGAATTTGTGGGGGTAAGCCTCAGCTGTTGCTCTTGCCTCTTAATTTTAAACTGATGCAATTGAACTTAGCCATATCTGTTGAACACTTGTATTTTGGGGGTCAGTGTTTTAAGAAATTTATAAGTTAGTAAGCATAGAAAGACTGTAATGTGGATGCTCATAACTTCAGTGAATGGGGAGGAAGGGGGTTATGTATGTATGTATACATATTTGTGTGAATACCTTGTGCAGCCAAACCCCTAAATTTGTGAGCTTTGTAATTCATATTAGATCACAATTTGGTTTTTGAATGGCATCTAACAAACTAAACTATTCATGTTTTTGGTGCTTAAAATTGTGAAGGAAACTTGACTTTTATTTTGCTTTTTGTCTAATAAATTACAGTATAATATTTTAAAAGTCCATCTCAACTAATATTTTGCATTATAGGAGAGGTGTAATCAAAATAAAGGACAAGTTGTAAGAAAATGATACACAGACAGTAGTGCATAGTATTTGGGTAGGAGGGCAGCTACTTACCACCTTCCCTTCCACATCCACTCGCCTTGCATACGAATGTATGTGCAAGCAATCAGGTGCAGCCTTATATTTTGCTTTAAGTCTTTATGCACTGCCTACATATGGTGTGCTCTATGTACATATATACGTACTTAAAAATCAGGATAATTTCAAGAACTGCGTAAGAAAATGAGGGCTATATAACTGCCATGTGTTGCGGCCTCCTCCTCTGTGAACACAGTATGTTTGTTTTGGTATTCATAGCCCGAAGACTGTAGTAGTCATTCTAGTGTCAAATTCTTTAACTGGTTTGAGCCCAACTGGGTTCTAGTGAACCTCTTTAGATCAAGACATCAAGATGACTCACGAAATTGTAATGACACGATTGCAAACAAACCATACCACAGGCGGGGATAGAACCTTGAGTGGTTCTATCCTGCCCGTGGTATGGTTTGTTTGCAACCGTGTCATTACGATTTTGTGAGTGTCTGGAGTTTTATGACTCTCAGATCATGGGTTCTATCCCCACCCATGGTATGGTTTATCAAGAGATCAAGGAAAACAGCTGTGTATTCCACTCCCTTGGAGGATCTGGAGCAAATTGGTGAGCAAGCTATAAGATAATGCAGTTCACTTGGACACACATGACAAAGGTGTGAGAGGCAGCCCACCTAGAAGTACAATCAATTGCACATTTTACGATGTAGTCACTAATTGACTGTTCATGTCAGAACAAGCAAGAGCAAAATCCGTAACATATATGGAAACTCAAATTCTTTGATGTAGCACTAAAGAAAGACCATTAATTAATGCCTATTGTAAACAAAGTGGTGTTAAGTAGTCACATTATGGTACACTTGGAACTTAAATTCAGATGAAGGAAATGCTGTTATTGACTTAGATGCAAAAGTGACCCACCAAAGCAAGGTGACCTAAACAAGGAAGCATGTAGTATACAGTACCTTCATTAATTACCCTAGCTATCTTTTCATAAGTGCACAGACATCACAGTTTATATGACATACCAAACTGCAACATCTCTACCCAACCTTCAGAGCTGGAGGCACTATACTACTTTCCATTTCTAGAACTAAATTCTGTCCAAAAAAAGTTTTCTTGAATCTCTTTATGGATGCACACTTGCTCACACTCCAGCAGTATACAGTAGACTGTCATTTAACATGGTAGTTACATTTCTGAAAAATGCCATGTTAGGTAAAACTGTTGTTAGATGAACTGAACAACTTATGGAAAAAATAGGGTTATGTTCCTGGGAGTCCCCAAAAAGCCAAACAACTTTTTTTTAGACCAACAGATCTTACAAAAATGAAAGTGAATATGTAATTGTAATTCATTGTCATGATGTATTATGTTGTTTTCACTGCTTAAGATTACAAATGCAACAGAAATAGTAGTATTTCTTACTTTAAATTGTGGGTGCTGGTGTTTGTCGATGGCTGTGGAGAGTGGAGAGTTATGCTGTGGCCCTACTGGGCTGAGGTGGATGGCAGAGGTTCTGGTACTAAAGTTGATGGTTGTACTTGAGTGTGCATAAATTCTGTAATGGATTTCTGTTCTAGTTTACCCAGCAGTACATTATACAACTGATGGTAAGGCATCAGCTGCTCTAGACACTGTTTCAGGGTTCTCTTCAGTGAAAAAGGATAACTTAAGTCAGTCAGTAAACCAATCAAGTCAGTAAGTCAGTCAGTCAAGTCAGTCAAGTCAGTCAAGTCAGTCAAGTCAGTCAAGTCAGTCAAGTCAGTCAGTCAAGTCAGTCAAGTCAGTAAGTCAGTAAGTCAGTAAGTCAGTAAGTCAGTAAGTCAGTAAGTCAGTAAGTCAGTCAAGTCAGTAAGTCAGTCAGTCAAGTCGGTAAGTCAGTCTGTCGGTAAGTCAATCAATAAGTGAGTCAGTCAGTTATCACACAAACTCATATTTACCTCATTCTTACGGGCTAACCCACAAGGTGGCAGCTTGAGCTGGGGAAATTTTTTCCACGTCCACAAACGGAACCATGTAAAGTTAATTTTACGAAGTGTTGTATATAACTATGCCGCAATTTTTCAATCGTGCTATAACCAAATCATGCAAAATAAACTCGAGTTAAATGATGGTCTACTGTATAAAAAAAAAATCACAAAATCAATTGTCTACACTCAACAATCTAATAAATTCACATATGCTCATTGGATACTCAAGCCCCTGCCACTTAAAATCTACTTCATACCTTCCTGCAGACTCTTCCTGGTAGCAATTTACTCATCAGGAGACAGGAAAGTGTCTCCTGATTGGGGAGGAAGGGTCTATGTCAGATGATTATTCCTCAGTGATTAATCAACCACTGTTGTACTGGTGCTGATAATAACAATATAATCAAATTAAGTGCTAAACCTGACATACCAGTACTGAGAATCATTGATTAAGCAATCACTGTCCTACTGGTGCTACATACCTATGTTTAATCATCTGCTGACATACTAGAACTAAGATTTCCACCCCACCACTGGCAAGACAGTGATGGAATGAATGAATAATGATGATGATGATGATGATGAACGTGTTTCTTCTTTTTCAGGTCACCCTGCCATGGTGGGAAACAGCCTATGTGTTAATAATAATAATAATAATAAAAAAAAAGATCAAAAATAGCCTTGGGATACTCTTCCTGGGACAAGTACACCTCCACGGAGACTTTACGGAATCTGACAAGTTAGCAGTTTTTTTTTTTATGATCTTATTTCACCTTAGTGCTTTTTATTTTAGCTGTGTTGTGCAACTAGTGGTTCCAAGAACCAAGCTTTGGACTGTGTAGCGTGACAAATACTAGCAGAGGCATAATTCCACTATTTACCTTCTCTTTTCTGAACTGGCTAATTAGATTATTAAAATGTGTTTCAGCTGAATTAAAGAAAGTTTTGGTAACTGTTCACTTAGTGATTATTATGGATGACTGGAATTAAACCTAAGATAATCTCATTCTCACCTATTTTCTTTTTGTTACTCCTAGTATGAATAAAAAAACTAAATTGCAGCAATCTTTTGCTTATCATCACACTGTCTATAAGATTATCTTAGTGCATCTATGAAATTTGATGATTTAAATTAGCAGTTCACTGATGATGTCTTGCACATCATATTTGATGAATTTTGTCCTAAATACTTCTGAGATTGATTTTTATTCTGATTTTATGTAGCCAAAATATATCCATAATTTTAGTATTCAGCTAAAATTCTTCAGTAAGTTAATAATAAACAATGAATATTCTTCCACAGCGAAAGATTCTTCAACCTGAAGCAAACCTGTTTCAATGTTTCTGGCACTGACAATAATTCCATAAGTTATGCATCTCAGCACAAACAATGCATATGAACTAAAAACTGAATCTTTTTGAAAAATGTACTCTAGGCAGGGATATATTCTCTTGTGAATTAAATATGCTATAGTACATACAATTTATGTTTTGTACCAACCCTAACTTGGTGACCTAACTTAACCTCATCTTGTTAAAATTCACTTATTTATTTAGTTTAATCCAACCCAATCCATCTTAGGGAAACCCAAATTTAGTCTGAATTACTGCACTTAACATCAATGTAATATATATTAATTTTTTGATGGTCAGAATGATTTCCACAGTAACAATGAGTTTACACTTGGCTTGCTTGGCAAATTGACCTCTGCTTTATAAGCGATGGCAAAAAAGCACAGTACGTATACATATATAAACATGCAAGGAACCAATTACTATACTAGAAACATAGAAAAACAAAAGCAAGTTACAATGGGTTATTTGTATTAGTTTATCTGAATACTCAACAACAACAGGAAACTAAACTGAAACAAGGTTAAGAAAGAATTAATATACATAAGGCTAATATCAACTTAAAACACAATAAAAAAACACAAAGCAAATGAGAAACTACTTCCTGCATAGTTTGTTACAGCTGCAGCATTTGCTGTGAGAGATAATCTAAGCCTATGTTATTTTTCTACTAAGATAGACAGTTCGGTATTTATGAAGAGGAAAGCAAAGGTAAATTAATATATATTTATCTAGCAGAAAAGAGTTACATATTGTGGCTGCAAGAATGTGCCACTAACCCACAATTAAGAGAGGCAACTTTAGATGACACTTGAGCCCACTGTAATCATTATCTAGTCAATAATGGTCCAGGTCAGGTTGAAATATCACCTAAAATTTACTCTCCAAATTGTGGGTTAATTGTGAATATATTGATCTATTAAGAGACAGCAGTAATGAAAGTTTAGTCATTTAATAGTAAAACAGCAAGTGGGAAATCCTGTAAAACACACTATCCTACTCCAACCTGAATTAAAACTGTTCTGACCCCACTGTGGGGTAGCAGAGGCCTGAGCCTGGACTGGTAAGTAGTCTGGGGTGGGGTCGTTAGCCTGGATTTGCTCGTTAGGTCTAGCAGGTGCTTTAGCCTCCTCCTCCTTCTCCTCCTTATGCGAGTGTGCATAGTGGTAAGTAAGGCCAGGCCGCGTCTTGTACCGGATCCCACACACTGCAACACACCAGCAAACATGCCGCACACACTCCACACTTTCAGGTGAGCTTCAATAACGTAAATTAATAGAAATAAAACTTACCATACAGCATCCCCCAAAAGCATTATACATGACACTAAATAAATTATGAATAATTTAAAAGTGAATAACTTGAATTTCAAATCATACAGAATTTTAAGAGTTCTACTAAAGAATAGAATGCAGAATTGCCCAAAAGCCTTGACATTTTGAAAATTTTTCACCATCTATTCATGGACTTTCAAATGAAGTAAAATATAAACAATGTTCAAAATAAATCTGATGGCACTCAAAAATGAAAACCTATTTAATATTCTATTCTTTGTATAAATAACATACAAACATTTCTATATATTGAAAAAAATCATAATTACATATTCAATAAATCTATACAGTATAGTTTGTATATTTTCATGTCATTCTCCTGCTTAAAGCTCAAAGCTATATAAATGAAGGTGAAAAGTATGATTCAAGTCTAGTAATGGTTATTATTATAATTATTCGCAGCTACAGGGTCAGTTACGTGGCAGAAATGATATACAAAGTCGAAGTAAAAAACTACACTAATTAATCAAGGACATGGATGACAACCACCACACTAAGTGTAACAAGCTACAATAAAATCACTAATTACAAAGGATTTATCAATTACAAAAGGTACAACAGCAACAGCAACAACTAAGAGGTGCAGCCCTCACAAAAGGTACAAGTTACTGAGAGGTACAAGTTACAATATGTACAACAGTAACAGCAGCTACTAAGAAATACGACAGTTACAAAAGCTATATACAACAGTAACAGCAGCTAATTAGAGGTACTGTACAACAATTACATAAGTTACAACAATGGCTCTAGCTACTGAGATGTTACAAAAAGTACAACAGTAACAGCAGCTACTGAAAAGTTACAAAAGGTACAACAGTAACAGCAGCTACTGAAAAGTACAAAAGGTACAACAACTTTAACAGCTATACAGGCACAGCAACTTCAAAAGATACAACTACTCATGTACAGCAGCTACAAAAGATACAGCAAATATTTAAGAGAACAAGTTACATATTAATACAAAAGTAAAGGGAAGACACTACTTTTAAAGATGTATATTGCTGAAAGTGAATTATTTACAGGAAAATTTTCAACCAATATTTTACACAATTTACACAAATTAAACAATACAAAAGCAGAGTAAACAATTTTGAATGCTGTATAGAATTAAATTAAACAATCAGTACAGTACAACCAATAGCAAAAAAAACTGCAACAATCACAGCACATAAAAAAAACTATTCATATATCAGGAATATGATTCCATTAATAAAACTAAACAATATGGCAACAGATGAAAAAACACAACAACTCTGGCAATAGTAGCTGCAACAACTGTGGCAACAATAGTTCCAACAACTATGGCAACAGTAGCTGCAACAACTGTGGCAACAATAGTTCCAACAACTATGGCAACAGTAGCTGCAACAACTGTGGCAACAATAGTTCCAACAACTATGGCAACAGTAGCTGCAACAACTGTGGCAACAATAGTTCCAACAACTATGGCAACAGTAGCTGCAACAACTGTGGCAACAATAGTTCTAACAACTATGGCAACAGTAGCTGCAACAACTGTGGCAACAATAGTTCCAACAACTATGGCAACAGTAGCTGCAACAACTGTGGCAACAATAGTTCCAACAACTATGGCAACAGTAGCTGCAACAACCATGGCAACAGTAGCTGCAACAACTGTAGCAATAGTAGATGCAACAACCATGACAACACTAGCTGCAACAACTGTGGCAACAGTAGCTACATACACAACTAGAACAGAAATTGAAGCAAGAACTGCAGCAGTATCAGCTGCAGCTTAATTTAGACAATAACAGCAGCTGAAGAAGCAGCATTAGCTGCAGAAATAGCAACTGTAGTACCTAGAGCAAAAGCCATAACATTGTTGCACCTACAGAAACGAACTATTATGAATAGCAACTGTTGTAGGTGCTACTGCTTGAATTATATTCATATTACATAAACTCTTCAACCAGCAACAACTACAGCATCTATCCCAAGAGCACAATTGCTACAATTGCACTATAAATTGATAAAAGGTAGGCCCCATTCCACAGCACTTCACTTTACGGAATTTAGCCAATACAGCAATTTTCAATTATACCCATTCTTCATTTATTCAGACTTCCTACAATAAATATATTCACCTCACTAAAAGCTATGGATGAAAATATTTTAAGTAATGTGTGTACTGTATATGCATTTTTTAGACCTAGCTATATTGCTCACTTAATAAATAATAGTGTAAACATGTTATCAGACTTTTTAAAAAAAAATGCCTATTATTCACTTTAGAGCGATTTTTGCTTTACAGCAGTAGCCCAGAACCTAACCTGCTGTATAAGCGGGGCTCTCCTATATAGTAGTTACAGCAAGAACTCCTATATCAGTTTCAACACCTTTTATAACAGTAGAAACTATAAGATCATCAAAAACATAGACAAAGCTATTTTTTTAACATGTAGGCTGTCTCCCACCGAGGTAGGGTGACCCGAAAAAGAAACACTTTCACTATCATTTACACTATCACATGATGAATTAATTACAGATGATGGGACATCATGTGCATAAATCTGTTCCTGTAGCTAAATAGGTACAGTAAACCATAGGTTATCTGGCATATGATTATGCAACATCCATTATCTGGTCTCATCTGATCTGGTGAAATGTTGCATAATCCAACGATTGCTAAAAAACTGCTAAGTCAGTTCTGGGATTGATCACCATCTGAGCCACAAGCAGTTAAGCAAAGAACCCAGTGTTCAGTATAATGAATTAATCAGTATCCTTGAATAACAGAATTAAACCTCTCACCCCTAAAGCCCCCCCATTTTTTTTCCCTGGCTAGCCCTTTTTACGAGAATAAACCTGAATGATACTACTTAAAGAAACAGTTCAAATCCTCACAAGGGCTGGGTTTACAGCAACACTATTTTGTCAGCTATTTTTAGCACTGTTTATTAAATGCATTCATTTTTTGTATATGGTGTTTTAGTACGTGTGATGTGCTCTTTTATTTGTGGTGCAAATAGAATACAAAATACAATTTTTTTTTTTATGGTTGCTAGTTTCTTTCTTTGGCACCAGACCCGTAAAGTGAAAAATAACCCAAGTATTGCATTCAAAATGTGGCAATTGGTAGGGTGACCCAAAAAAGAGGAAACATTCATCATCATTCTTTCAATAGATGACTCACGAAATCGCAATGACACGATTGCAAACAAACCATACCCTGGCCGGGATTGAACCCGCAGTCAGAGAGTCTCAAAACTCCAGTGGCTAACGCGACGGTCTGGAGTTTTGAGACTCTCTGAACGCGGGTTCAATCCCGGCTGGGTTATGGTTTGTTTGCAATCGTGTCATTACGATTTCGTGAGTCATGTTGACGGCCGTGAGGGAACTTGAGCTAGAGTTCGTCATGGCCATGCTAGCTGGAGATTCGTCTGTAAAAACTTGCATTTGTGGTCACAGTGGTGCCTGTGCTAACCTTCCTACGGTGTAGAAATATACCTAGTTGGACGAATCTTATTGTGGCTAGCTGGTGTAGTGGCTAACGCGATGGTCTGGAGTTTTGAGACTCTCTGACCGCGGGTTCAATCCCGGCCAGGGTATGGTTTCAATAGATGTTTTGCCAGAAACGTATAAACATCAAGAGTTTAGCTGGCCCTCTGAACTGAATTTGATGGCAATTAAAATATTGAAAGAGATACAGTATGTGCAAAATATTGTAAAAGAACGTCACCAAAAGGCATATTCAATGATCTACTGTAATTACAAAACAGGTAGTTACCACAAATACTAATTTCATTAGCTACCATACAAACAACAACAATATTGATATCAACAACTGTGGCAAAAACAAGCTTAAACACCTCAAGTTACAACAATGGCAGTATTAAGAGTAAGAAAACATAGAAGGGAAATCAGATCAGTGCAGAAACAAATAAATGAATCAATAGAGGTTATACAGATATGAGAGCCATACTTCAACATATAATACAGCAACAATCATTATTACAAAGATCAGAATAAGGTATAGAATTACACATGACAACGTGGTGAGTAAGGTCTAACTCAGCATTTCAACTATGGTAAGGTATGCTCGAAAAAATACAGTATTTATGTACAGGTATGTAAATTTTTTTAAAACCCTAAATGAAAATAAAAATATTTTTATTAATTATTATTTTACTTTAACTCTGACTGTTTTGGCTGTATATATACATCCTACGAGCCAGTGTTTCAGACATATATATACTCAATAATTCTAGCGGCTTCAAATCAAGCAGGGGAAAGCTGGTAGGCCTACATGTGAAAGAATGGGTCTGTGTGGTCAGTGTGCACCATATAAAAAAAATCCTGCAGCACGCAGTGCATAATGAGAAAAAAAAATCCGTTTTTTTAATTAAAATCCCGACTTTGTGGTCTATTTTTGTATAGTATTTATGGTTGTATTCTCATTTTCTTGGTCTCATTTGATAGAATAGAAAACATATTATAGAAATAGAGGTGATTTTAATTGGTTTTACTATGAAAAGAACCTTGAAATGGAGTTCAAAGTGGGGGAAATGTTTGTTTTTTGCTATGTTCAAAAGTAAACAAATGATGTCATTTTCCAATAAATCTCCAAGTAGCCATTCTAATATGCAGTTATGAATGGGTTGACATTATTTATACAATTACAATATTACAATATTGCAGTTGTCTGCATAACAGTAAATCTTCTGTTTTTTGTTTGAATAAAAATTCAAAATAGAAAGCAAGAGTAATATCAGAGGGGCCTGGAGACATGACTGATGAACAAAGAAAATGTTATTTTAGAGCCAGGAATGTCTGCATTGTTCATTCTAGACCCTATTCTGAAACTGTCATATTTTTTAATTTTCGTGAAATTGGCCAAATTGTAAATTTCTGA